CAGTTATGGCGGTTTGAACATGTATGCAGAATAGGAGAAATAGGCAATCATGGCAGGCATGGGAGGAAAAAAAATCAGGGAATCAGCCCTCCAGGGCGACCCAGGGTCTGCTGGGAAGACAACATCTAACAGACTGGGAGCTGGAATAGAACAAAGCCAGGGAGAACACTGCTGACAAAGAAGTCTGGCGATCTTTCTGACAAACCTCTAGACCCCAAAGTAGAAGAGGAAGGACTAAGTAAGTAAGTAAGTAAATAAGTATTTACCACTTCTGCAGTGTAGGTGGAGGGGGTAGGCAGGATCTTTGAACCTGAGGATTTATTGCTGCATAGCTAGTGCTGTCGCCATGGACTGTCCAGGTTCCAATTTTATTTTTGCCTCGAAAGAAAAAATCCACAACCTTACTGAGGACTTGAACCCAAGTCTCCTGCATGGGAGCCCAGTGTTCTTAACCATTCGACCAGCTCCTCGTTTAACTATGATAACCCATGCTTATCCACCCAACACACAATGACGATGAAGTCATATTGCTTCATACTAAATTTTTATATTAAAATACCTAATAGTATCAAGCATTATAGCCTGCACTTGTGTTAAAACATTGAACTGTCATTCACAAAGAAAAATGGTGAGAAACTGAACTGATAAACAAAGGTGAATGAAACAGGGAACAGGGAAGAAAGTTAGCCCAAAAAGCTCATACTTACACTGTAGTGCGCATGACCAGAGGTATTCCATCACTTTAAACATAATAAGTGAACACTTTTACATCAAAGATAAAGATTACAACAATAGAATTGTGATGACAAATCAGACACCATAGATATATCTAACAACAATATAAGTGTACTGGAGCAGAGTACTAAAACACCAAAGATAATCACAGCAACAACATAAATGTGTCGGTAGATTGACATGTGTGAGTGTGTACGCAGAATACTGACACACCAAAGATAAACATGACAACAACATAAATGTGTTGGCAGAATAATAACACACCAAAGACAAACATAACAAATTAACTATTGGCAGAATAAACAATATAAATGTACTGGTAAAATAATGACACACCAAAGAAAAAAATTTAGGAACTGAAATATTACTTTTTAATGTAAAAGTGATTACATTTCTAACAAGATTTTTTCTTTGCTTTTTGCTTTAACAATTAGGATCCCCTAAACATAACTGACATTTTAGCAGATAAATTTACAAAAAGAAATAAGTATTCACCAGTACTATACAGCTCATTTTAGTAACTGGCAGAGCATTGCAAGTCTCCTTCTATCTTTTATCCCCCAAAAGAACACATGCTCCAACTAATCTGCAGCAAGTTTTCCTATTTTCTGCTTACCCAGTGTCCCACTGAGTATCGACTAGTCTACACAAATATAGCCCTAGCACAATCAGTTTACCCAGTGTGCCACTGAGTATCGACTAGTCTACAAAAATATAGCACTAGCACAATCAGTTTACCCAGTGTGCCACTGAGTGCCAACTAGTCTACACAAATATAGCCCTAGCACAATCAGCTTACCCAGTGTCCCACTGAGTATCGACTAGTCTACACAAATATAGCCCTAGCACAATCAGTTTACCCAGTGTCCCACTGAGTATCAACTAGTCTACACAAATTTAGCCCTAGCACAATCAGTTTACCCAGTGTCCCACTGAGTATCGACTAGTCTGCACAAATTTAGCCCTAGCACAATCAGTTTACCCAGTGTGCCACTGAGTGCCAACTAGTCTACACAAATATAGCCCTAGCACAATGAGTTTACCCAGTGTGCCACTGAGTGCCAACTGGTCTACACAAATATAGCCCTAGCACATCCAGTTTACCCAGTGTGCCACTGAGTGCCAACTAGTCTACACAAATATAGCCCTAGCACATGCAGTTTACCCAGTGTGCCACTGAGTGCCAACTAGTCTATAAAAATATAGCCCTAGCACATCCAGTTTACCCAGTGTCCCACTGAGTGCCAACTAGTCTACACAAATATAGCCCTAGCACAATCAGTTTACCCAGTGTCCCACTGAGTGCCGACTAGTCTACACAAATATAGCCCTAGCACAATCAGTTTACCCAGTGTGCCACTGAGTGCCAACTAGTCTACACAAATATAGCCCTAGCACAATCAGTTTACCCAGTGTGCCACTGAGTGCCAACTAGTCTACACAAATATAGCCCTAGCACAATCAGTTTACCCAGTGTGCCACTGAGTGCCAACTAGTCTACACAAATATAGCCCTAGCACAACAAGATGTGAAAAAGGCTCTTTACTTTACTTAGATCATGAAGATGAAATCAGTAAACAACCTGAAGCAAAGATAAGTTGTTACCAAACAAAAAGTTATCTGTGCATCCTTTACAAGGCACTGCAGAACCAACCCCAGCATTTTTGTGTGTGGTTTGTTTTTAACTAGGCAATTTTACCCTCAGCAGTTTGCCACTGTTTGATTTTACTAGACAATTTTACATTGAGTAGTTTGCCACTACTTTCTCAATAGACTGAGCTCCATACAATTGTTAAAACAGTCTGTTGTCAAATCGCCTGCAGCTGCAATTGAACTGAGTATTTCAGAATTATGAACTGCTTTCGCAGGTCTAATCCACAGATGCCAACAACAAACAACAAATGACAATACAAAAAATATGAAAACTCCTTATGGAACCTGCCAACAACATCAGGAAACCTCTAACAAAAAGACAACAGCCTACACACAAGCTTCATGCAGATGGTGCTCAGTTAAGGTCACTTACTTCTCTTCAGTCCGGTTTACCAAAGCCAGTCTTCCATAGTCCCAGGCTATTTTTCTTAGTATGGTGAACAGCAGCAAGAGACACTGGGAGAATCAAATTATTAGGAACATTAAATGGTAAATGTTGAATTAAGAGTCGATATCACAGCCTTCGAGACACTGCCATAAGAGCACCATTCCTATCTTCAGCAGCAGGCCAAGAATTCCAATTCTAATGGCATCAGTAACTGTCTGATTTTATACCCGTCTCACCTTTTCCTTGAGTGTTGGGCGTCTGCCAGATCCCTTGGTAACTCTTCGCAGTGCCATTCTCCTCAGACTGTAATTGAGCTGAGTCAAGAATTGACATCACAGAACGCGCATTCCCATGCATGCTCCATACTTATCTTCAGCAGCCAGTGCAGAGTTCCAATGCTGATGGTATTGGTCACAATCTGGTTATATGTCCGTCTTGCCTTTCCTCTAAGTGTAGTGAGCAGATGCAGCCAATCTGTCTGCCTATTTATTACCCACCACGCCGGCATGGCCTGGAGAAAAGATCCAAAGTATGCTCACTACCCATGACCTTTCCAGTCTTCAGACTGTAATGGACTGTTTATGCCTCCTGACTGTTCACTCTCTCCCAATAAGAGAACATCAGACTGTTTATGCCTCCTGACTGTTCACTCTCTCCCAATGAGAGAACATCAGACTGTTTATGCTTCCTCACTGTTCACTCTCTCCCAATGAGAGAACATCAGACTGTTTATGCCTCCTGACTGTTCACTCTCTCCCAATGAGAGAACATCAGACTGTTTATGCCTCCTCACTGTTCACTCTCTCCCAATGAGAGAACATCAGACTGTTTATGCCTCCTCACTGTTCACTCTCTCCCAATGAGAGAACATCAGACTGTTTATGCCTCCTCACTGTTCACTCTCTCCCAATGAGAGAACATCAGACTGTTTATGCCTCCTCACTGTTCACTCTCTCCCAATGAGAGAACGTCAGACTGTTTATGTCTCCTCACTGTTCACTCTCTCCCAATGAGAGAACATCAGACTGTTTATGCCTCCTCACTGTTCAGTCTCTCCCAATGAGAGAACGTCAGACTGTTTATGCCTCCTCACTGTTCACTCTCTCCCAATAAGAGAACATCAGACTGTTTATGCCTCCTGACTGTTCACTCTCTCCCAATGAGAGAACATCAGACTGTTTATGCCTCCTGACTGTTCACTCTCTCCCAATGAGAGAACATCAGACTGTTTATGCCTCCTGACTGTTCACTCTCTCCCAATGAAAGAACATCAGACTGTTTAAGACTGTTCACTCTCTCCCAATGAGAGAACATCAGACTGTTTATGCCTCCTGACTGTTCACTCTCTCCCAATGAAGAGAACATCAGACTGTTTATGCCTCCTGACTGTTTATGCCTCTCTCTCCCCAATGAGAGAACATCAGACTGTTTATGCCTCCTGACTGTTCACTCTCTCCCAATGAGAGAACATCAGACTGTTGATGCCTCCTCACTGTTCACTCTCTCCCAATGAGAAAACGTCAGACTGTTTATGCCTCCTCACTGTTCACGTCAGACTCCTCCTCCTGTTTCAATCAGACTGTTTATGCCTCCCTGATGTTCACTCTCTCCCAATGAGAGAACATCAGACTGTTTATGCCTGACCTGTTCACACTCTCTCCCAATGAGAGAACGTCAAACTGTTTATGCCTCCTCACTGTTCACTTTCTCCCAATGAGAGAACGTCAGACTGTTTGCCTCCTGATGTTCACTCTCTCCCAATGACTGTTTTATGCACTCTCTCCCAATGAGAGAACATCAGACTGTTTATGCCTCCTGACTGTTCACTCTCTCCCAATGAGGGAAGATTCGACTTTATGAAGCAGATGGTGAGGGGCAGGGCTATTCCACTGGTGGCCCGTGGGCAGAATCTGGCCCATGGAGGGCAAATAAGTGGCCCACGGATCACTGTTAACTGTTTTGTTATAATGATCTTTCTGTGCTAGAGCACAGCTCTTTATAGAGCCAGTTTTAACATACGGCTGTAAATCCTGAACAATTAATAAACAAGCCAAACCATATCTTGAGGCCTCAGAGATGTGGTTTTACAGAAGAATCCTAAGAATTCCTTGGTCAGCTAAGAAGAGCAACCCAGATGTTTTGAAAGACGCGTGTTCTTGGAAACAACTCATCACAAAGAAAGAGACAGTCATCATTTTTTTGGTCATGATACGGGAAGAGGGAAAATGGAACATGTCGTGACCACTGGAAAGAATTGTGGAAAGAGAGACAGAAGCAGACAGTGCGAGAAGATGATTCTTGATGGCCTTTTGTCATGGCATGGAGGGGTGTCAAAACACGAAGTGATAAACTCAGTTGCAGATCGCAGTCTGTGGAGAGGTATGATCGCCCACGCCAGTGGGCAAGGCACTTGATGATGATAATGCTAGAGCTCAGGCTTCTGGTCCTTGACGACCCCCCAATTTCAACACTGGTTGTTTGTCCACTTCTTGACTTTGGTCTTGTCCCAGAACCTGAGTTTTGTGTGCACATCTGGTTTTACAGATCTGACTTATTGGTATGCAGACTGTTGGTTTCTCACTTCTCAGGCAGATGCTTTCAGACTAGAAGGTAACATACTAATCAGTTGCCTCCTATGCCATGCTTTGTTTAGGGGACAGTAAATATATCCTCCCACCCCCACACAACACAACAACTGATAGATAAAAAGGCTGGGCTACATGATGCAACAGTGTACACCGATGGTTCTGTTCATCAGGGTGTAAGATCTGGCTGGGGATTTTCCCCTAGAATGAAGGTAAAGGTGGTGGCAGAACAAAACGGAGCTGCTTTTTTTTTAAGGGGGGCGAGGGGGGTATCTTTAACCTCAAGCATGAGGACGGATGTGAAAGCAATCACTGCAGTTTGGGTTTGGATAGGAGAAAAAGTCACCAGAGGAACTGTGTCTGATTCTCAGTCGGCATCGCAGAAGTTCAATGGACTAATGTGGCATCATTACATCAACATTGCAGGAAATCACGTGGATATACTGTCTGGGACATGCAGGAGTGCGAGGGAATGAAAGAGTGGATTTTATGGCTACAAAACAGAAAGCTATAGGAACACTCGTACTGGACAAAGGAGACATTCTGAAGACCATAAATGAATGACTGTTGACAGAAGAAATGAGATAGATGAAATAATATGTGCAAGAATGTGTGAACGAGGAACTAAATATAGATTCAGTAAACAGGGACGTATGAGAGGAAGAGAACGACGTGTGTATAATCAGTGTGCTACGGGAACAGTTAGCAACTACACATTAAGTGGGATATGGGTGTGCTCTGTGGGCTATGATGTCAATCTTTAGTCAGTAATCAGTAATCCCCCCCCCCCCCCCCCCCCCAAAAAAAAATTGGCCCTAAACCCACAAAACGTCTCTCCCAGTGTCTTCGGTCTGAACAAACCCTAGAACATGTTTAACAAGAAAGTCCTCTCCTGGAGGAGCTGCGATAAAACATGTGGCCACACAAAACAGACCTGACAACTAAGATTTGGGGAAACCCAAGAGACCTCGAGCTGACATCTCAGTCTTTGGCCCATCATAGATTAAGCGTTGAAAAAAACATTACTCACCACAAATGCTACAACGTTAATGATCAGTGTATCTGGGATGCCGTTGTACTTGTCATACAAAAAGATATGGGTTGTGTTGCTTCCGAATTTGGCCACAGTCTCACAGGTATTTGACGATGAATTCCCAGTATCAGACACAGCCATTCTTGATAGGGTGAGAGGTAAACTGCTCTTCACAGTTCACAGTCTGGCCAAGAACTTCAGTCTAGGTCACTGATAAACCTAGAGACAGAATAATAAAAAAACACTAGCTTACACAAAATGGAACAAAGAGAAACTGACACATTAATAACAAAGTACAATTTAAATGAAAGCTAGGCACGGGCACTTTTTTTTTTTTTTTTAGCCGTAGCAAATGTTTTTTTTTTTTTTTACTTCTGCCAGGCGGTGGCCGTCGCATTTTTGCTCCATTTGTAGACTGGAAGCATATAGTTTCGTTGCCCAGCTTCTGAGTTGAGTGCATGGTGTGACACTGTGAGCTACGTGTGTTTTTCATTGGCACAGGAGCGGAGCAACAATGGGGTGACCTGTTTGCTATGAAGCTGAAACTAGGATTACCAGATTACCAGATTAAATGAAAGCACTAGAAATACATCACATATACTCCATGATTTCAGAAATTTATAAGGAGCTAAGTGCGCTCCTCTTACAGTGTATGGAAATTCTCTTTTCAAGTCTATTTTCCTATTATTTTAAATATATATTTTATATATAAGAGTCCTTCAAATGAAAACCTTAAAAGTTTACTAGAATTTACAGAAAACCATATGATTACCTGGTACCTTGTCAATGCTGTTGTTAAGCATGTCAGAGTGTTAAGCATATGACATCACTGTCCGAATAGTTGAACTTAACCCCCCCCCCCCCCCACCCCCTTTTTTTTTTCTCTATTGTTTTCTTTGTGTTGACACCTCCTGCCATCCTCTATACCACCACAGCAAATGGGAGGCACAAGAGGGAAAAAGTGGGAAATGTCCACACTATCTCATTATTCAGAGGCCTGGACTATGTAAAGGATGAACTGGTGACTGTACAGCTGCACTTCATAGCAAAAGCGAATGGACGTCGCTTGGTGCAGGAAAGCCTGGCATATGGTACCACAACGCCTAGTTTGAAAATGGAGATGGAGGCAGTCACTGCTGCCTTCCGCTGGTTTGAGTATCAGCTGTACACACATGCCGTGATTGTAACTGGCTTGCAGAGCATGTTGAGAAAGGTGAAGACAGGTATGCTCTGTGCAGAGTGGCAAGCATCATTTAAGAGGTCTCAGGTAGTTAGCATTCTTTGGATATTTTCTTCAGGTAATGCCGATGTGTTGGGAAATGAGCAGGCGGATAGACTGGCTGGTTCTGCACCACTTGGTGATGAACTGGTGTATGACAAGCTGGATGTTGTGAGAGCTCTTTGGCAGCAATCGAACAGTGCAGAGGCACAGACAGATCATTAACGTCTGGAAAGAATGGCGCTGCAAAGAGTTACCAGGGATCTGGTCGACGCTCAACACTCAGGGAAAAGGCAGCAAGATGGATATACAATCAGACAGTTACACGTTGATCTCCATACGCCCCATATACACATTAGCTCACTTCTGATTGGTAGTTCCTGAACCTGTCACCTTGGCACAAGGTTACGGGGGTGTTCCGAAATGCCGTTGATATTGCGTGTTTAACGCTCCAAAAACATGGACAAACTGGTCCTAACACAACTCTCCTAGAGAGTGCTGCAACCTATGCCACAGGCATTCTCTTACCCTGAATAAAAACGTAAATGCAAGACATCACAAAAAGCAAACAACAGAGCTGGATACACCCGTAACTTATGAAAGTCGACCAGCCAAACAGGCGTGTGAATGAAAAGTGACCTACTCTATTTGGGGAGATTAACGTGAACCTAACCCTCAACCACAAAACCCGCCTATACCGCCAAAGAGGTAAACAAATTGTTTTTTCGTCAGTCTACAGGCATCCTCCAACAAACAAACTAAAATAACTCAGCGGACCAAAGAACGGATCGGACGCCTGCAAGTAATGCACCAATGCTTACAACAGCGTATCCCAAACTTGTCTTAGTCGCGGCGTCTTTTTTCAATTAAAGTTTCTCCATGGCGCCTTAACCTAAGTATGACTATTCGTATGAAAGAGATTTTTTTTTTTAAACGTATATCTTCGATATTTTGCGGCTCCCCTGTAAAGAGGTCGCGGCTTCCCGGGGCGCTGCGACGCACGGTTTGGGAATCACTGGATTACAGCAAGAAGCACGTAGACAGCTGATAATATCACAAACGCTGTAATCTGGCGGATACAGACGAGTCTCCGACGCTACCAAGCTGGGTGATGTACGTCTTTGCTGTCTTCCATGTAGAAAACTATGTCTGCCGTGCCGAGCATCGAACCTATCACCTCCAAATAACGAATGCGCCTAGCTGTGGAATCAAGTGTACTAAGATGCAACTAGCCGCCCCCCCCCTCTTCCCAACCCCCACCCCCTCCGGCCCCCAAACGTGTCTTCACGTGTCATGTCTGTCGCACAAGCTGCAATCCACAAACTATGGAATGCGGACAGAATTCGTTTCAAACCATTGAAATGGCACCATAGGTGATTATAAGGAATGAAAGAAAGAGACAGGCAGACAGACAGAGCTGTATGCAGGCAGGCTGTACGCAGACAGACAGTATGCATGCAGATAGGTTGGTAGGTAAATAGATCAGTAGACAGAAAGAAAAGAAAGAAAGAAAGATAAACAGAAAGAAAGAAAGAAAGAAAGAAAGAAAGAAAGAAAGAAAGAAAGAAAGAAAGAAAGAAAGAAAGAAAGAAAGAAAGAAAGAAAGAAAGAAAGAAAGAAAGAAAGAAAGAAAGAAAGAAAGAAAGAAAGAAAGAAAGAAAGAAAGAAAGAAAGAAAGAAATCGATTGAATCTCAGAGACAATCGTCACATACAATGGCCGCCGCTGACACAGAGAAACAGCCGCGACCAAGACACTGTGTGCCGCCGAGCTGACTGTCATGTGACAGAGATAAATACAGTGAACTTGAACAAGCTAAAATCGATGCCATTAGACATCACCGTTCAGAGGCTCTGCAAAATGGAGGCTCAGGCACCCTGACACCCAACCCCCCCCCCCCTTTTTTTTATACACACACACACACACGCTCGCGCGCGCGCACACACATACACACACCAAAGATTGTTACGGGGATAAGTCCCTGTCCAAAGTTTGTTTGAAAATTTGTATGGGAGGAAGGGGGGGGGGGGTTTGTGTGGTCAGCATCCCACCTGCCGCCTTTACTTCCCAGGATTGAACCTGGCACCCACTCAAGGCTGGGTCGACCTGGCAGCCAGGTCATTTTTAAAGAAAGTCCGGTCAGTCAGGACCCGAACCTAGACCTTCCGATACGTAGGCGAGCGTCCAGCCACTACAGCACGGCAGACCCTGTTGGTAAAGTAACTATCTAATACCAGTGGCAGCGTGAATGTGTCGCTTGACCAGGGCGTGGTCACGTCAGGAAGTTGTGGTTATTCAACCAAAATGAAGCCGATAACAAGGAAGACTGACCACTTGGGGAAATTCCCCTGGGAACTCTACATACCCCGTTTTAAAGTTAGTTGCGTATCCTTTACAGGACGTTGCAAAACCAACTTCAGCACTTTTGTTGGGTTGTTGTGGCTTTCCTAGGCAAAGAGCTAGTACTATTTATTGAAAGGTGGGGGAAATACTACACTACATATTCTGTAAAACAAAACATCCCAGACAATACTACACCTGTTATGTTATAAAACACCCCAGACATAATACTACACCTATTATGTTATAAAACACCCCAGACATAATACTACACCTATTATGTTACAAAACACCCCAGACATAATACTACAAATTTCGCAAAACTAAATACAACACTGTATACAAAAAAACACCACAGACGCACCAATAAATGTTTCACACAATGAAACATCACAAATACAACACTACACATTTTATACAACAAAACACCATAGATACAACACTACACATTTTATACAATAAAACACCATAGAAACAACACTACACATTTTATACAACAAAACACCATAGATACAACACTACACATTTTATACAATAAAACACCATAGAAACAACACTACACATTTCATACAACAAAACACCATAGAAACAACACTACACATTTTATACAACAAAACACCATAGAAACAACACTACACATTTTATACAACAAAACACCATAGAAACAACACTACACATTTTATACAACAAAACACCACAGAAACAACACTACAAATTTTATACAACAAAACACCATAGAAACAACACTACACATTTTATACAATAAAACACCATAGAAACAACACTACACATTTTATACAATAAAACACCATAGAAACAACACTACACATTTTATACAACAAAACACCACAGAAACAACACTACAAATTTTATACAAAGAAACACCATAGACACAAGACTAGACTTTTGATACAAAGAAACACCACAGAAACAACACTACAAATTTTATACAACAAAACACCATAGAAACAACACTACACATTTTATACAAAGAAACGCCTAGACGCAACACTGCATACTGTATACAACAAAATACCACAGAAACAACACTATACTTTTGATACAAAGAAACACCATAGACACAACACTGCATATTGTATACAACAAAACACCATAGACACAACACTACAGTTTTTATACAACAAAACACCATAGAAACAACACTACACATTTTATACAAAGAAACGCCTAGACACAACACTGCATACTGTATACAACAAAATACCACAAAAACAACACTATACTTTGGATACAAAGAAACACCATAGACACAACACTGCATATTGTATACAACAAAACACCAAAGAAACAACACTACACTTTTTATACAATAAAAACCATAGACACAAGACTAGACTTTTGATACAAAGAAACACCATAGACACAACACTACAGTTTTTATACAACAAAACACCATAGAAACAACACTACACATTTTATACAAATAAACGCCTAGACACAATACTACATATTGTATACAACAAAACACCAAAGAAACAAAACTACACTTTTGATTAAAAAAAAAAAAAAAAACACCATAAGCACAACACTGCATACAGCATACAACAAAACACCATAGAAAC